GATCGTAAAAAAAGTGAAATGTGGATGAGAGCTACTTTAGTTATAGATAAATAATAAATATAAATAATTCTAATAATCAAATAAATATACAATTATTTGTTTGTGAAAACTGAAAAATAAAAAATAAAAATTTTCAAATTTTTTTATTTTTATTTTTATTTTATTTTTAATTTTTAATTTTAAATAATAAATTATTTAAAATAAAGGAAATATAAATATATTATTTAGTTGAGATATAATTATAATTGTAATATTCATTTAATTCTAAAATGCATATGAATACATTACACTTTATAAAAAAACATTAAATAAATTTTACTGATTTTAAGTATTTGCTTTTAATTATCTAATGTTTTTTTTATAAAGTTTTTAAAGAAAATAATTTAAACTTTTGATATTTGGTAATGATTTGATGCTGATGAAGTATGCTCTTGCTATTCTTCTTTTGAATTTTCTATATTCTTCGTTGATGTTGATAATTGTTTGTGGTTGTTTAGCGTGTTTTTCTTTGATGTTTTTTAAACCAAAATTAAAACAACATTTGGTAAGTAATGATTTATATTATTTTTTTAATCTTTTCTTTCTTATAGGAAGATATGTTGGCTGAGTATAGTGACCTTAAAGAAGTTACATGGTAGGGTCTTTCATGGGTAACAATATTCTTACCATTGAAAAAGTTCTATTAACCTAGGCTGCTGAGTCCATGGAATAGCTAAGTTATTTTTTGGGTCTGCTTATATAACTAAATTAATAAATGTGCAGAACAAAATGTTTTTAAAAACATTGAATAAAAAATTTTTTTTTATAGGTTCCTTAGTTTTTAAAAATTGAAAATGTTATTAAATTGTTTTTTTAAAAAAAAAGAACAACAATTCTACTTTTTCTTTTGTTTAGTGTTGGTTGTAGTTTTTGTTATTTAAAATGAATATTATATTTAGCTTAATGGTAATTTACAAAAAAATAAAAACAAAAGTGGTATTGTATATTTTTTAAAGAAAAATATGATTTGTAATTTTTTATATGGATTGATAATTTTTTTTTTTTAATCTAATATTATCATTTATTATTGAAGAGTTGAAAAATAATATTATCTTAAAGTTAACCCCAAAGAGATATGGAATGAAATCTGCATAAAAAAAAAAATTTTATTTTTTTATTTTTTTAAAATTTGGGTGGCCACCCAATTTTTTTTTACAGTCAGATGCTTGTGTGGATAACAAAATATTTTAATTAATTGTAAAATGAAAAATAAAAACAAAAAAAAAAAAAAGTAGAAAAAAAATTATCACCCCATTATTTAAAAAAATATTATCATAAAAAAACTTCCAAGTCTGAAAATATATTATAAATCAATTGTGAACAACACCTTAAAAACAGTTTTTTTTTTTTTAAAAAAATGGAAAAGGTAAAAACACCATTTTTAAATTTAAATTTATAATAAAAATTCAAATTTATGAGAGTGATAAACATCATTATGATGCCATTAAAAAAGATTAGAAATTATATTTTTATTACAAATATGGAAGAAGATTGTTATAATAAATTTTAATTATTATGAAAGTATTGATAATAATTTGTAGAGTGATTTTCTTAAAAAATATTAAATTTTTATTTTTTTAATTTTAAAAAAATATTTAAACTTTTTTTTTGTTTAATTTTTTCATTAAAATATATTACTTTGTAAAAGAATTAAAATTTAAATATGGATTCAAAATTAGTACAACATGTTGTAAGTAATAATTTATATGATAATCAAAATTAAAAAAACATTTACTAATTAGTTTTGAATTTTTTAATCTTTTCTTACAGGAAGATTTGTTAGCTGACCATAAAGACAGTAAAGAAGTTACATGGGATGAAGTTATTTCCTATTTATTTAACAAAGGTGTTGGTAATCCATACTTCGCCACATTAGCAATATTTTCATCAATGGATACAAACAATGATAAAAAAATTTCTCTTGGTGAAGTTAAAGTCCAAAAATTTAAAGATCAAGCTAAAAAACATTCACAAATTCTTATAAGAAATATTGAAAGCATATTAGACGAAAACAAGGTAGGATATCAAAATTTTAATTACTATATCTTTTTTAAGTTAACTAAAGTTTTATATTTTAAATAGGATGATAAAATCACTTGGGAAGAAGCATGTAATGTCTTCAGAAAAGACCCAGAGGTCGGTGATGCAGGTTGTGAAAACTGTACCAAAAGTCTCTTCGGTTCAGTAAATAAAAACAATAACAGAGAAATCACTAAAGATGAACTAAGAACTGTAGGTTTTATTTTATTATATTTTGTTCATGTATAAATATTTTACTAATCTTTTTTAATTTATCACTAGTACTATTCAAATGTTAAAAAATACACTGCTCATTAAAATTCATTGGTTGCTAAATCATTAATGGTTTAAAAAGTAATTAAATAAAAAACAAAATTGTTAGTTTTGAAAATTAAAATTCTTTATTATCATTTTAGAATAAAAATTTATAAAATAATTAATTGATTAGGTAATAAATATGTATTCCCCTTTATTGAGACGTATTGACAGTTTGCTTTCAGTAACTGACTAACTCCCTTTTTATGGCGTCTATATATTCTCAGTACCCTCCTTTTAATTTTCTCAGCCCTTTGTAAAACTCGGGTTGGCCCTTTTACTATATTTTGTGTGCTACATTTAAAAGTGCAAAAGATGAACCAAAAAACTAAAGCATAAATAAAAATACTGAATTAATGTATCTTTAAAAAACCACTTTATTAAAAAAAAATTTAATGCAAAACCCAAAAATACTCAACTTTAGTTGACAATTAAATCTCCTTCACAAAAATTTTCAGAATCACACACTAATTGACATATAAATTAAAAAAAAAATTTTATCTTTTTTAATTAAAAACTATTAACATTTTTTTTTTATTTTTTATTATTTTCACATCAATATTTTTATAAAATTTTCACTTTATTATATAAAAATACAATATCAACAGTTTTTTTTTTTTTTTAATTTATAATATGAGAGATAAAAACATCATTATGATGCCGTTAAAAAGAAAAAAAAAACAATAACTCCACCTTTTCTTTTTTTTTTTTGGTTGGGGTTTTAAAATGAATAAAATATTTTATTTTTAGTTTAATGGGGATTAAAGAAAAAATAAAAATAATTGATAATATTTTTCTAAAAAAATTGTGAACACCATAAAAACAGTTTTTTTCTATTAAAAAAATTAAAAAGGTAAAAACAAACTGTTTTCCCACCATTATAAATTTTTAATTTATATTTAAATTCATATTTATGAAAGTGAATAAAAACAAGAAAGGGGAGTTTAATAAAAAATAATAATTATTATGAATACATTGTTAATAATTTATTGAATTATTTTCCTATTAATTATTAAACTTTTGTTTTTTTAATTTAAAAAAATATTTAAACTTTTTTTTTTGTTTAATTCATTCATTAAAATATATTACTTTAAAAGAATTAAAAATTAAAAATTTAAATATGGATTTCCTTAAAAAAGAATTAGTTAGTATAATAATTATAATTATAATTTTGATTATAATAACATTTGCTAATTTAGATTTTTTAATCTTTAATTCTTACATATAGGAAGAAATGTTAGATTACTATAGAAACATAAATGTACATGCAGTTTCCTTTGAAGAAGTAGTTACCTATTTAAATAATAAAGGTCATAGTAATCCCAACTTTGGTGCATTAACAATATTTGGATCTTTGGGTGTACCCAAAAATAGACTAATTATTCTAAATGAAGTCAAAACTGACCATTTATCCCAATAACCAAAGATTGTTATTTATTGGTTGTTAATTAAATAATGATTTGAAAAAGTAATTAAATAAAAATACAATTGTTAATTTTGAAAATTATAATTCTTTATTGGCCTAAAACATACAAAGAAAAAAAAAATTTCTGGATAAAATAATTATTTTTTATTTATAATTTATTTATTTTATTTTTTCTTTTTTTGATTGTTATTTTTCTTTTTCTTTTTATTTGCTTCATCTTTAAGTAATTCTTCTTCAAGTTTAGCTCTTTCTTCGTCAGATACCATTGGAATTGAATCTAAATTGTTGTTGTTGTTGTTGTTGCTATTGTTTTGATTATTATTTGAAGAACCTGTAAACTCGGTATCAATTAATAGTTTTTTATTTTGTGTTGAAGCTGTGATAGTTTCATCACCAAAGCCAATTGAGTCGGCGACTAAAATTAAAAAGAAAAACATTAGAATTTATATTTAATTTAAATTATAGAATAGTTTGTAATTATTATGGTCTTACAATCCGAACCAAAGTCAATTTTATCAATATTTGAAGGAGAGTTAAATTGATTGTCATCAGAACCCCAAGGTAAGACATATTGTTTGATTGTATTTGTTATTAAGGTGTTATATAGTGAATTCCATTGATCATTTGATTTCAAATAGGTTGGTAAAAAGTGGTTGGCAGGGAATTGGGAAGCTGAAATTCTAATATAGTTTAAAAGAATTAAAATTACACCTTTACATTCTGATTGTTCATTATCCAAGTAAAATGTAATGAATCTATTTAAATGATTTGTGCAAAAATGTTTAATTGATGGTAAATGACCTTGTGAAAACAATTCTTTGACTAAATAAAAAAATTTAGCATGATATATATTGCTATATTGTTAAAAAAAAAGATTATTAATAATCAATAATTAATGGTTATTAAATAGCTATTATTAAACATACTTGAATTGGAAAAACCATTCAACTAAAAAGTACCAAAGCTCGACCGGTAAGTAAGGCTGATTTGGAGTCTTTCTTTTAAAAGTCGCTTTTGCTTTAATTAACTCCATTAAAATATTAAACATATCCATACGATAAGAGCCTAAAGTTTTTTTTTGGTTTGGATCATTTCCGATATCAATGAGAATTTTGCAAACATTTGGAAGATGGTTAGTTGTTAAATAGAAAACCCATGAAGATGGTGAACCACTTGGTGAAAAAATTGATTCTTTTTCTTGTTGATATTGATTCTTTTGGCTATACTCTATACTTTGTTTACATAATGAATTGATGATTGAAAGACATTGTTTACGAAGTTGAAATGAATCTTTTTTCTTTGGTTCATTTAACATTATCTTTATTAACGAGTCTACAAATTCTTTATTTTGAAAACTTGAGATTGTGAATCCTGCATCTGGTCCATGAATATCCAATGCTTCAATTGATTTAATAACGAATTCAACTATTCCCTCTAAAATTAAATTAACTTTTTCTGTTTTTAAGCTTAAATCTATGAAATAAAAATAAAAAATCATCGTTATTAATAATAATATCTTTTATTTTACTTTATTATGAGTATATATTTACCTGGTTGAACAAAAAATGACGAGATTAAGCTAAAAACTTTAGATTTTTGTAATGTCTTTTGAATTTTTTTAGTCTCTATTGGATTTGATGTTTGGTATTCATTAACGCTGGCACTTGCTCTTTTTGCGATAACTAAAAATAATTCTTGGATTGGTGTTAAATAAATATGTTCAACTAAAATTTGGAAATACATCTTTTGGCTTGATGGCTGAATTTCTGAGAGTTGATTTAAAAAGTCGAATGTAAATTGATAAAATAGTGATGATAAAACTTTTGAAAAATGGTGAATATTAGGTAATGAGTTTTCATCATAATTTATAATACCATTATTTTCGCTCTCGAAAAATTCAAATAATGTTGAAACTAAATAAATAAAAAAATAATTTTAAATTAATATATATTTATTTTAATTATATATTTATTGTGATTATATTATAAAACTTACCAATAACTGGTAATTTATCTTTTGCTAATGATATAAATGGTGGTGATGGGTGAAGGAACAAATTCATAACCTTGTATGATTTGATTAGTTCAACTGAAACATTTTTTTTATTTTTAAAGTTACTTCTTTCTTCAATGGATAATGCTGATAATTCTTCCTCGGTCAAATCTGGACCCTTTTGTTGTAATGCTAAAAGTGCTGGTGTATTTTGTGGTGGTGGATTATTTTTGAGCTCTTCTACAACTTCTTTTGGATAGTTTTGTGTGATAAACTTGACTAACATTTGAATAACACCATCCTTAACTAAAAACTCTTTAAAATTTGTAGTTACTGTTGGAATATCACTATCCAAAAATCTTGAGATAAAATAATAACATTTAACTGGATCCATTATATTTTTTTATCTTTTTTTTTTATTTATTAAATATATGAATGAGTGAAGTTTTAGTCTATTATACTATATTATATATGATGGATTTGTATTATTAATTAATTAAATAATAAATAAATAAATAAATAAATAAATAAATAAATAATGTTATATACAAAATAAAATGAGTGTGTGATGTGTAATATATGATGTGGTTTAAAAATTAATTTAAATAAATTTATTTTAAACTCCTTCAAGTTTTTACACGTAGAGGAATCTATAAATAAAATTTTATTTATTGTTTATATTTAAATATTTTATATAACCTATACCGCAACTGTATAAATTTTAATTTATAAAAATAATGAAAAATTAATCCAACAAAATTTAAAAAAAAAATATAAAAAAAAATTAAAAAAAAAAAAAAATTAAAAAAAAAAAGTAATAATTATTTAATTAAGGTCATCATAACACAAATATATTTTTTTTTCACACACAATTTTTATTTTCGCTATAAATAGATTGAATTTATTTATTTATTTATAATTTTTTTTTTTTTTTTTTTTTTTTTTTATTATTTTGTGTGTTTACATTTAATCACTGTTATAAAAGTTTTTACCTGTTATAACTGTTAATTAATTTACACAATCTAATCACCTCAAAAGAACTACTATCACCTATTTATTTATAAAACAAACTATTATAATAATAATAATAATAATAATAATAAACTTTGTATCATTAATATAATTTAAATTATTATTATAATAAACATAGAATAATTATTTTAATATTATCACTGTATAGTTTGGGATTCAAAAGAAAACTTTTGAAAAAAAAATCAATCCTTCCTTTTTAAAAAAAGTTTCTTTAAACACCAAAACTGAAAGGAAAAAATTAATTAAATAAAAACTAACGATTATCCGTTTGAAGTGTATTAATATTAATTTTATTGTTATTTTTCTTGAATATTCGCTTGTAATCGTTGTCAATAGACAAACAACACCAAAACCGCCAAATTCAAATTTTTTTTAAAAAAAAAAAAAAAAAGATATTTATTAATTTCTAAATAATCTTTAAATTCTAAAAAAAAAAAAAAAAAAATAGAAATAATGCAAAAAAAAAGAAAATAAACCTAAGAAACAGCATCATCACCTCAAAACAACAGAATAATCTTTGGCGCCTTTTAGATTATTGTATTTTTTTTAAATTTTTAATTTTTTTTAAAAAATATTTTCTTTAAATATTTTTTTTTTTCCATACCTTTATTTTTTTTTTAAACTAAAATAATATAAATAAATATTTATATATATATAATAAAATATGTCTTACTTAGGCTCATCAAAAATTATTAAGAAACTTTGCGGAATTGAAGGTGCTGATGGCAAAAAAGCTCTTCAAAAAACCATCATTTCAGTCATTTATACAGAAAAACAAATTATTGAAAAAAATCAGTGTGATAAAAAATACGAAAATATTTCTGCTCCAACCACCGAATTAGTTGCTCTCTTAACTCCATACGTTAAAAAGATTGGTGTCAAATCATATTTAGAACAAATGTCTCAAGTTGATCTTAGTACTTTATACGAAGACTTCAATGATGAAGAGGTAAATATAATTTAAAAAAAAAAAAAATTTAAATTCATAATCATAATCAAATGCTAATTAAACTTTATATATTTTATTAAATGCAGTCCGAAAAAGAAAAAGATAAAAAGAAAAACAAAGTTTTCTTAGTTAGAAAAATTACCAGCGGTATCACCGAAGATTTCGATGGCTACTTTACCAATCTTAAAGGCGACAAATTAAAGATTTTCTTACAACTTACTGCCTCACAATTATCCCCAAAGATCATCGAAGAAATTACTTTAGTTGGTGTTGAAATATTCCTTTTCAATGTCCAAACCGCCACCTTAAAATACATTTGTGAAAAATTAGGCTATGTTGTCCCAAATAACAATCCAAATGTTATGGTTACCTCTATTCTCACTGGCGCTGTTCCAGCCAAGAAAGAAGCTCCAGCTAAAAAAGTAATCACCTTCTCAAAGAAGAAATTACCATTAAAAAAAGGTCTTAGATACCACGATATTTTCCAACATTACTATGTTGAAGAATTACAAAGTTTCTGTCGTGAAGAAGGTTTAAAAATCTCTGGTACCAAAAAAGAAGTTATTAACCGTATTCTTAACTTTTTAAATCATGGTATTGCTGAAATTCCAAAAGGTAAAAAAGTTGATGATGCTGAAGAAGAAGAAGAAACCAAAGAAGTTGCCCAAGAAGCTGTTACCGACGAAGAAGATGAAGATGATGCTGAACTTGAAGAAGTTGAAGTTCCAGAAACTGTCGCTGAAGTTGCCCCAGCAAAATCACCAAAATCAACTCCAAAAAGACAAACCTCTAAAATTGTTGCTCCATCACCATCAAAACCAAAAAAATCAACCAAGTAAATTGAAATATCCCCATGTCTAATAACAATAATAATAATAATTACTAACCACCCACATTAACAAACAAACCATAATAATATTTATCAATTTAAATACTAAAAAATACATATACTTAAGTGTATATATATATAATTGTAAAAAAACAAATAAATATTAAAAAAAATAATACAAAAAAAATTTTAAAAAAAAAAAAAAAAAAAAAAAAAAAAGAAATCCAAAATCTATTTATTTATTTACTATTTACAAAGATAATTTTATTTTATTTTATTTTTATGTACATGAATGAGATATGTGTTATTTCTTTCTAATAAATGGCATATGAGATGGTGGACTGTGGTTATTTGGGTTTGGATTCATCATATTATTTAAATTTGGTGCTTGTTGTTGTAGTTGTTGTGGCAATTGTTGTTGGTGTTGTTGTTGTTGTTGTTGTTGTTGTTGTTGTTGTTGTTGTTGTTGTTGTTGTTGTTGAAGTGATTGCTGTATTTGTGTTGTTTGTTGATTTATATTATTTCTATTATTAATTTCATTTATAAAATTATTATAAAATTGGTTTGTTGGCATTGGACCTTTGATTAAAATATCAGATAATTCTTTATCTGTCCCATTTGGTTTTTGAAATTGTTCAATTGATCTATAATAATATGAATATAAATTATTTGGAACTGATGGGTTCATATTACCAACAATTGCCGAATTTGGTGTGATGCTTGGTGGACCTACTGTTTTATTCATTTTATGAAATTTAAATAATTATTATTAATTATTAATTATTTAAAATCTGTTATTTATCTGTTTTTATATAACTATCTTTAAATTATCTTTTTCTCTTATCGCTATATCTCTATCTATATTTAACATTAGTAATATATAGTATATATAATATGAAATATAATATAATATGAATAGATTATTATTAAAAATAAAAATAAAAAAATGAAAAATAAAAAATAATTTATTTCATAAAAAAAAATACAAAAAAAATTAAAAAATTAAAAAAAAAAAAATTTTATAAAAAAATAAAATAATAATTTTATATTCAGATGTATAATTATATAAAAAAGATATTTATAATTGTTTTTAATATAAACAATTATTATTATTTACTATTATTAAAATTAATATAAAAAAAATAAAAAATATTCTACCCAAATATAGCAACATTAAATTAACGAGCTGGTATCCAAAAAAAAAATAACACCAGAAGTTTTAAATAAAAATTAAAAAAAAATGTTCCAGAAATTTTTTACAAAAAAAAAAATAAAAAAAAAATAATTAAAAAAAAAAAAAAAATCTTCGTGAAGCTTTTTTTTTTGAAATCTGAAAAAAATATGACTGTTTATTTATAAAAACCATTGGCAGCAATAAAATGGTATTTAGAAATAACTTAATTTTAAATATTATTGAGACAATGGAAAAATAAAAATAAAAAAATATTTTTTTAAGAGTTCGTGAAACGTATTGATAGGTACCATCTAATTTTTTATGGGATAATAACAATTTTTTTTTTTTATTATTGGTTTTATGAACAATATTACACCAAAAAAAAACTATAAATATGAAAAAATAATTTTTTTTTTATTTTCATTTTTTCATATAAATAAAAAAATAAAAATATATAAATATTTTTTTTTGTTAATAATAATAATACAGTAAATTTAAATAAAATAATTTATTTAACACAAATATAAATATAATATAATTAAAATAAAAATGTATAAATTTAAAGAATTATTCGAATTAGAACCAGACTTCAAACCAACTAATCTTGACAAGTATAGATCATTCCCAAGTGATGAGCAACTTGAAGAAGCTATTAAAAATTTACAATCTAAAAACCACGATGTCATTGTTGTAGAAGACGAGGAGCAAGCTATGGAGGTAATTAAAAAGTCCATCCCATCGCAATCAACTGTTATGAGTGCTGGTTCTGTTACCCTTGAGGAAATCGGTTTCAAGAATTATTACTTTGGCGATCAACACACTTGGAAAAATTTACACGCCGATATTCTCAAAGAAACCGATATTACTAAACAAATTACTTTAAGAAAGCAAGCACTTTCATGTGACTATTTCTTAAGTAGTGTAGGTGCCATTTCTAAACAAGGTGATTTATTTGTTGCTGATGCATCAGGTACCAGAGTTGGTGGTTTTACAAGTGCAGGTAATGTTATCGTTGTTGCTGGTGTAAATAAAATTGTTGGTTCTGAAGAAGAAGGTGTTGAAAGAGCTACTGGTTTCTGTTACCAATGCGAATCGGTTAGAGCTAGAGCTGCTTATAAAACTGCTGGTAGTGTTGTTCAAAATTTTGGTATGTATTATAATATTTATTTTTTAATCAACATAATAATTGATTTCTAACAATTATTTTATTTTTTTTATTTTTCTCACAGTCCAAGTTAGATTTGGTAATGTTTTTGGTAAACGTAACACAACTATCATTTTAATCAAAAAACTCCTCGGCTATTAAACTATTTCTAAATTTCAAAATCCAAGTGCGCTCTCTTTTTTTTTCTTGTATAAAAAAGTTCATTTATTGTAAATAATATTTTTGGATGTATATAATTTAAGAACTGTATATTTTAAAAATATTTATAAATTATTAAAAAATAAAACATAATAAATTTTAATAAATTTCTCAAAAAAATTATAAAAAAAAAAAAAAATTAAAAATGTATTTTAAAAAATATTTTTATTTAATTGTATTGATATATTTCTATAATTAATTTATTTTATTCGTTTTTGAAGTCTTTTATAGTTTTTTAAAAACTTTTTTTTTTTTTTTTTTTTTTTATAAAAAAATTTAATTTTTTTTAAAATTTTTTTTTTTAATTTTTTTTTAATTTTTTTTCATTAAATATTTTTTTCGACTTGTGAAAGATACTATTATTATTTATTTAATAATATATAACATTACATAATGCCAAAAGTTAACATCAATAGAGATCACCTTTTCAAACGTCTTGGTAAAGTTTATAGTATGTATTATACAAAATATAAATGAATAATAAAATTTAAAAAAAAAAAAAAACAACAACAGTCGGAAGATTATCAGTTTATTAATTTTAAACAAAATTTAAATTTCTTTAGCTCAAGAGGAATTTGAAGATCTTTGCTTCCAATATGGTGTAGAGTTAGATGAAGTTGTAAGTAAATTTTGTTTTTTTTTTTTCAATAAAATACCAATGGTGTATAATATTTAGTTTATTAATATCATCATTGTTTTTATTATTTTTAGACCTCAGAAAGAGATATGATTTTAAAGGAAACTGGTGTTGAAGATAAGGCAGCATCAGATGAAGTTATTTATAAAATTGATGTTTCAGCAAACAGATATGATTTATTATGTATTGAAGGTATTGCAAGATCATTAAATGTTTACAATGGTAAATTATCAATTCCAAAATATCACATTGTTCCACCAGTTAATGGCACTCACGAAAAATTAATTGTCGATAAAAGTGTAAGTTTCAATCAGTTGCAGATGAATGAATTAAGCACAGGTAGTAATATAGGTTTAGGAAATGAACAGTTTATTAATATTAAAATTAATAATAATAATAATAATATTTAGGTTGAAGGTGTTAGACCAGTTATTGTTGCTGGTATTCTCAGAAATATTGAATTCACTCAAGAAACATATGACAGTTTCATCGATTTACAAGAAAAACTTCACGCTAATATTTGTAAAAAGCGTGCTTTAGTTTCAATTGGTACTCACGATTTAGATACAGTTAAAGGTCCATTCACTTATAAAGCACTTCCACCAAAAGAAATTAAATTTGTTCCATTATCACAAACTAAACAATTTGATGCTGAAGAATTATTCAACTTTTATGATGTAAGTTATTACTAATCATATATATCAATATATATATATTGCAAATCAATTACTATTAGTATTTTTGTATATTAACCAAGGTTTTTTTAAATATATATAAAAAATTAGACAACCAATTCACACTTAAAGAAATATCTTCATATTATTAAAGATTCAGCAGTTTATCCAGGTATTTACGATAGTAATAATGTTTTATTATCATTACCACCAATTATTAATGGTGAACACAGCAAAATTAAATTAAGCACCAAAAATGTTTTCATTGAAGTTACAGCCACTGATAGAACTAAAGCAAATATTGTTTTAAATACAATGTTAACTATGTTTGCTGAATACTGTAAAATCCCACACAGTATGGAACAAGTTGAAGTTGTTGAAGCCGACGGTAAATCAGCCCTCTATCCACAAATCGAAGAAAAGCAAATCTCTGCTGATGTTGATTACATTAATAAAAGTATCGGTATTAATATTCAACCAACCGAAATGGTTTCAATGTTAAAACGTATGTCATTAGAATCAAAATTATCATCAGACTCAAAATCTGTTACTGTTTCAGTCCCAGTTACTAGATCAGGTATGTATACATAATTTATTTATTAAAAAACAAAACATATATATAAATTAAAAGATATTAATTTTAAATTTTATTTTTAATTTATTTTTAGATATTATGCATGCATGTGATGTTATGGAAGATGTTGCAATTGGTTATGGTTATAATAATTTAGTTAAAGAAATCCCAAAAACTCACACACAAGGTAGAATTCAACCAATTAATAAACTTTCAGAATTATTATCAGCTGAAGTAGCATTAGCAGGTTTCACAGAAATTATGACCTTTGTTTTATGTCAAAATCAAGATAACTTTGGTGGTTTAAATAAGGTTGAAGATGGATCAAGTGTTAAAATTGCTAATGCAGTCTCTGAAGAATTCACAGAAGTTCGTACCAATTTAATCAACTCTTTAATGAAGAGTGTTGTTTCAAACAAAGCTGCACCACTTCCATTAAAATTATTCGAACTTTCAGATGTCTCTGTTAAAGGTAGCACTGGTAATAAAGATTTAACCGATCCAAATAGTAACAATAGTGATGTTGGTGCTTACAACAAGAGAATGTTAGGTGCTATCTATTGTGCCAATAGTGCTAAAATCGAAGTTATCCATGGTCTTTTAGATCGTGTCATGTTATCATTAAATATTAAACCAGATACCACTAGATCAGGTAAAGGTTACTACTTGGAAATTGGTACCGATAAAGTTTTCCTTCCAGGCACTTGTATTAATATCATTGTTAATGGTAAAAAAGTTGGTTATATGGGTATCATCCATCCAATTGTTTTAAAGAATTACGGTTGTCCATTCCCATGCACAGTTTTAGAATTGGAAGTTACAATGGATTTAGCTAAAAATATTATTTACCAAGATTAAATATAATCAATAATATTACTATAAAAAAAAAAAAACAAAAATAAAAATAATTATATTATTATGAAACTAAAATACACCAAGATAAATTTAAAATTGTTTTCTGTGTGAATGTGTGTTAAATGTATGTGTTTTTTTGTATTTTAATAATTTGTTGTGTGGTGACACACTGTGTGTTCATTGAATATTTTTAGAAAGTGGGTGAAAAATGTATGATGAGTTTTTATTTAATTTTTTATTTTTTTTCTTCTCTTTTTTTTTTTTTTTTTAAAGTTTTGTATATATATGTTTTTTTTTTCTTATATTACAAAATAAATTGGTTATATATAATGGTAAAAAATAATTATATAGTAATAGTTTTTTTATTATTTTTTGTAATAAATAATATTTTTTGCAATGATACAAAAGATTATGGAACAGGTGGTAAACTAATTGAAAATAATAGTGATAGCAGTAGTACCAATAACCAAAACAAATTAATAAATCATCATAGTCATAACCATGGATATAATAAAAATAAAAATCAAAGTACCACAAATAATAAAAACAATCAGGATTTTTTAAATAATTATTATAAAAAACATAATCATACAAAAAATATAATAAATGAAAAAGACATCAATATCAAAGATTATAAACAAACAATAATAATAGAAAGGGATGAGATTGAAATTAAAGATGGTTTGGATGATTACAATAATGATATTGTTAATTTAAATTGCTTTAAAATTAATAATGTAGAGATTCAAGAGGTATTAGAGAATAGTAGTGATGGTTATGGAGATGTAAATTCCCAAAGTCAAGATGGAGAGAGTATTAATGATCAAGATTTAACATCCTTAGAAAAACAAAATAAACAAATAATGAAAATACAACAGATAAGAAATAAATATAAAATAATAAGTGAAATTAAAGAAAATATAAAATACCATTTGGACTGGAATTATTTAGATAGTAAATGGAGATGTGTAGATTCATTCAAAGAGAATAGCTTTACAAATTTCAATACTTTTGGAGGTTCAATTGGGGAGTTTATCATATCTTTTCATTTGTTTCAAGATCAAACCAACCAAAGAATAGATGATGATTATAAATTAATTAATGAAGTAATGAAGAAATTTTTAAACAATAATGGGGATACTTATTTAATTTACCATTCAAGTGAGGTAAGAAATTATTATTATCAATAAATATATATTTATCTAACTAATTATTTATTTTTTTTTAAAAAAAATAGGAAATATATGAAAAATTATTAAAAACTATAAAAAATAGCATAGAGTATTATAAAGATAAAGATTTCGATATTCAAAATGTTGAAGAAGACCATCAAAAGTTTGTTTTACGTTTATTGAAAAATCCCGAGTTTATTGGTTGTAAGTTTATAAAGCAGCTTGTCTTAGGAGATAGTAGTGGCATATTAAATTCAATATCACCAATACTAGTAAAAAATGTAATAGAGTCATTTTTTAATATACTTTGGAATGAAAAAAGTGAAATTTCAAATGTTTTATTTGAAATTGATGACCACAGTGAAATGGTTTCAATTGCTGAAATCAAAGTTGATCCAGTAGTATCTGTAAGTAATTTATATAAAAATGTTTAATTCAATAATTTATTAATTTAATTTTTATCTCTTATAAAGTGCATAAAGAAACCATTATCGTTTCCAAAGATCCAACAAAGATTAAATCATAATAATCCAAATGGTCATAAAGCATTTTATATAGTTCAGGATGACGAGACTATTAGATTAGGTATTAGGGATAAAATAGCAAAGTATTTTTATGATGAATTATTGTGTGATGAGCATCATCTAGAGAAACATCGTAAAAAAGATATATTGCCATTTAATGAGTTTAAAGCAACTTTAAACAACAAGGCTTTGATATTTAGGGAGTCATGTATAAATAATATAAAGAAAGGAAATGAACCTCATTACAAAATCCAATTTAATATTATTTTACCGGCCCCATTAAATAAAAATAATGTAAAACTATCTCCAGTAAAAGAAAATCCAATAAAAAATAATCAAGTTACAAATAATTTCAATAGAAATAATATTAAAAACGGTTCCCCATTAAATAGTCAACAATTAAAGGATATTCAAGAGATGGTCAAAAAAGAAAATGAAGATTCAGAATCAAATAAACAAAATACAAGTTCAGTAAAATCATTCTTTTCTGGTTTGTTTGTAGTTTTCATTGTTTTAATTGTTGGATTAACAGTTTTATTCGGTTATATATCATATAAAAAAAGAAACGAAAAATACAAATCACATAAAAGATTAGAAAATGTTTTTTCTTTAGAGGATGACATAGAAGACGAATTTGATTTATAATACAAAATTTTAAAAACTAATTAAATAAAATAAAATAAAATAAAATAAATAAATTTAAAAGAAGTTTTTTATTTATTAAAAAGAGGAATATAGTATTTTTAATAGACTTTTTGTTTTTTATATATTGTTAAGATTTCGTTGAAAATTTCTGGTTCTTCTACAGACAATGGAATTATAAAGTCATTAACTAAAAAAATAAAAAAATGTTAGTATAATGATTATTTAATATATAATTATAATGTTACTTACTATTAATTATTTTTTTTAAAACACTTTTAGTGTTTTTGCCACTTCTTGTTGTTGGTAGTTTATTAACTATAATTAATTTTTGTAAAGTTGCATAATAACCATTTTTTTCGACTACTAATTTATTAATTTCATCTTTAAACATTTGGAAATCAAAAATGTCAATTTTGTAATCATCTTTTAGAACAACAAATGCTATTGGTACTTCACCTTTGATTTCATCGGGAATTCCTATGCATGAGCAACTAACAATTTTAGGATGCTTTAAAATTGAGTTTTCTACACTTGTGCTTTTGATTTTAAATGTAGATACTGTAATGACATCGTCAGCTCTTGATACAATATTATAGTACCCATCTTCATCTCTAGTTGCTAAGTCTCCAGTATTATAATAGCCTTTGTATGTTGAAAAGTAGTTGTTATAAAATCCTTTTTCATCATTATATAGAGTAGTTGCAAAACCTGGAGGTAGAGGGAGTTTAATTACAAGTTCCCCAATTTCATTATCTTTTAACTCTTCACCATTTTCTGAAAGTATATTTAAGTTGATATATGGGGGTGCTATTCCAATTTTATTTTCTTTTTGATTACCATGAAATGACATAATAAGAGGAATTGAGGCTTCAGTTTGACCCATGATGTTATAAATCCTTTTACCTACAATATTTCTTATGTAATTTAAACCTGGTTCGTAAGATACTTCACCTCCAACCCAAATGCTTTCTAAAGATGATATGTCATGTTTTTTAATTGATTTGGCCTCTGGATCATACTTCATTATGGTTCTAATGGCTGAAGGTGATAAAAAAAGATATTTTACACTATATTTTTCTATAATTTCCCAAAATTCTATTTCATGATTTGATAAAGTTGTAATTCCCTCAAACATATTAAATGTTCCACCAAGACCGAGGGTATTATATAGGCAGCAGTGTCCAGAAACCCAACCTATGTTACTTGGAGAGAAAATAATAGGTCTTTCACCAGGGCATAATATGTTGAAATAGTATAAATTACTGACAAGGTGGCTGGCGTTATCTCTAACAATACCTTTTGGTTTGCCACTAGTTCCACTTGTGTAAATTACATATAATGGATGGCTTGATTCTACAGGTATATATCCATAAAAAGGTTTTGAGTTGTTTAATAATTCGTCCATATCCAATGACCCTGGTACTTTTGGGATTGATGATATAAATTCTTTATCAAAATGGTCATTTCTGTTGAATGTGATTAAATGATTGGGTTTAAATGTCGATAGTTCTAAAGCTTTAATAATGTTGGGTGTATATGGAACTATTTCATTATTTGAAAAACCATAATTTGACAATATAATTACTTTTGGGAAACAGTTATCTATTCTGTCTGTTAAATTATATTCATTGTGACCTCCATAAACAACTGAATGAGTGGCGCCAATTCTTGCACATGATAGCATCGATACATATCCTTCAATACCTGTTGGCATATAAATTATAACAGCATCGTTTTGAGTAACCCCCAAAGATACCAAGGCCCCAGATAATTTGCAAACTTTCTCGTATAATTCAATATACTTAATTTTAACTGATTGTTTTAAATATGGACATTCATATATTAAGGCATATCTTTCTCTTTGTTCTGGGTCTTTAATATTTCTGTCTAAAACATTATAGCAGGTATTTAGCATTCCACCTTTAAACCAATCAGGTTTTAGTTCATCGCCACTATATAGTTGATCATATTCTTTATCCCTATGTAATACAACGATGTTAGTACTATTATTTGATCCAATATGTTTATATTAATATTATTATTATTATTTACCAATGAACTTTTTTAGCCAAGTCATTCCAAAAAGATAGTGGTTCTTCGTTTGCATACATACAATCATTTCTATAATCGAAAGGTTTACTTATTTTATATTTTGGTAACATTTTATTGGGTTATATTAATATATTATAGATAAAAAAAATGAAAAAAATAACTAATAAAAATAATAAAAAAAAAAAATAATGTTTTTTTTTCTTTTTTTTTTATTTATAATTATTTAAAAAATGGAATTTTATACATTGCGAGTAAGAAATATATTTATCTTTTATATGTCGTTATATTATTATAATATACTAAATTTCTTTGTGTTTATTTTATTTTTATTTATATATTGTTTTATCTTCGATAGAATGAAACAATTCTATATGGAATTGTTGTTATTTTTTTTATTTATTTTTTTTTATTTTCATTTTTTTTTTATTTTTTTTAATACCCAATAATTAAATATATCTTTTTTATCTCTTTATTTTTTATGAAAAAAAATATTGTGTTAAAAATTAAATTAATGTGGGGGTGGGTGTAAATTTATTATTTAAACTTTTTTTTATCTATCTGCTATTTATTTACTGTTAATAGTATCACATATTAAAATTGGTTTTTATGATTGTAAATTTAGATTTTTTTGGAAAGCTGAGAAATTTATTTTTTTTACCAAAAGATTTTAAAAAATTAAAAAGTTGTTTGATTATTATAACTATTTTAACTTTATTTAAACAATGAAAATTATATAAAAAAAATAAAATTTATCAACGAACAAAAATATTAAAAGATATAAGAAATGGGTTATAAATATTTTAATATTAAATATCAACACAAATGATGGTGCACTTCCTTTTTTATATATATTTCTTGAAAAACTAAAACTAATAAATGATTATTATTATAAAACTAAAAAAAAAAAAAAATAAAATAAAACAAAACAAAACAAAACAAACAAAACAAAACGAAAAAAAAAAAAATTTGTATGTTGGTGATAAAAGATTTTATTTATATATTTTTTTATTATTATTTTTATTTTTTATATCTTTTTTATGATTGCCACGGTGATTCGACCATTTTTTATAAATCAAGTTTTTTAGATTTGGTAAATGGTCATTTTAAAAAAAAATTTAATACAAATTTATTTAATTATTTTACTGTGAATAAAAAATTATAAACTATTTATTATTATATAAAATCTAGTATTCCCTAAATCTATTAAAATTACCTTTTTATTGATCTTTTTGATTTTGATATGTAAAACATCTTTTAATATTTCAGGATCTTCTACAGATAATGAGGGAACATATAAATCCTTAACTAGTTTAAATTAAAAAAGTTAATAAAAATATTAAACAAGTTTTATAAATTAATACAAATTACCATTTATAATTTTTAAAATATTTTTTTGCACTTTTCCCATTTCTAGTTTTAATTAAATGATTTCTTTATTTTTGCATAAGCCTTTATATTTGAATGTTGATACAATAATAGTATCATCAGATCTTGAAGCTATATTAAAATATCCATCTTTGTCTTTGAATGCTAAATCACCTATTTTATAATAGTTTTTTAATGTTGAAGTATACTATATTATTATTTTCTTCATTTTGTGTTGTATTATATCCTGGGGGTAATGGAAGTTTGATTGCCAGTTCACCTACTTGATTGTAACCCATTGACCAAGTACTTCATCATATTCTTCAATTGATGCTCCATCAATGAACTGTGGATGGGTGGATGAAGTGTACTTAGACTCTGGTTTTGGTTGTTGTGGTGGAATTGGGGTTTGTGTTGGAGTTGGAGTTGGAGTTGGAGTTGGAGTTGGAGTTGGAGTTGGAGTTGGAGTTGGAGTTGGAGTTGAATTTGGTTGAGATTTTAGATTTTCATTGTAATATTTATTTTAATATTTTCGTTTTGAATTTTGATATTGGATCTTGGATCTCCAACTTTCAGAATGAA